TTCCTCTATTTCTTTACTTCTATTTTGTTCCTTTTTTCTTTTTTCTTTTTTTTTTTTTTTTTTTGTTTACATTTCTTATTATTGCTACCATTTCATCACATTTTCAAGGTCATTAACAGGTTTTCCAAACAAAAAAAAAAAAAATAAAAAATAAAAAATAAAAAATAAAATAAAAAAAGAAAATGGAAAGAAGAAAAGAGAAATGATTAAAAATGAATGGTATATTATTAATGCTACATTATGAATATTAACATTTATTATTTTGAATATTAATATTATTATTTTGCTCTATTATTGTATAATGTTAAAGGATAGCAATATTGATTGGATAAATTTTGATATTTTATAATATTATTTAATGAAAATGTAAATGTATTTAATTCAAAATAATTCCAATGATTGATAAATAAAAAGTCATTTCATTGCTTTTTTTTTTTGTTTTTTTTTTCTTTTTTTTTTTTTTGTTGAAATGATATCACACGCATTTGATATAATATATTGTTTTGTACAATATTAATTATGCAAATATTTATGATAGATAATAGTATGATTTAATTAATTATTTCATTATTTTTAATTAATTATTTTTAATTACTTACTAATTATATTAATTATTTTTTTTAATTACTTTTTTACTAAACTTTTAAAATTTCGCATAATAATAAGCATAAAATGGTTACAATATAATTGCATTTTTTATATATTTTAGATTTATTCTTTTTTTTTTTTTTTTTTTTGCTACAATTAATCTGTTACATACATTCTACTAATTGTAGCATTCGTTAGTTTATAATTGATTATCAAAGGATGGATTTGGAATTAATTCGCCATTTCTTATTTAATTGACCTTTGATCATTGATCGGTTACTTTTATCCGTAATTGTCAAATAATAGTTAGGAATTTAAAAAAAAAAAAAAAGCTTGTTTCCAAGTAAATTTCTTGATCTTTTACAATATATCTTGTGTTAACTTTTACAATAATCGATCATTCAACCATCATTGATCATTGATTTTTCCCTTTGGCGGTATTAATGGTTATCTCATTTCACTTCCTCCTCTTTAACCTTTATTAAACATTTCATTAGTTTTGTGAAATTTTAAAAATTCAAAAATCATTTTTGATATAATATTTCAAGAAATAGTCCATAAACACAAACACTTAACAATTTTCACTTAATGTAAATGGTAAAATAATACTTGGAAATGTAAATGAGATAAAATAATGTAAATGATAATTACTATTAACGATGCAATAACCATAAGTAATGATAAATGATAATTCATTAAAAAAATAATGATAAATTGTAATGACGATAAGTTATTATTATTATTATGAAAAATTAAAATTTATAATTTCATTTGTAGGAGTTAAAATTTAAAACAGACAAATATTTGCTGAAATGACAATGTATCAAGGAATTTTTTTTATGATAATTGATTTGATTTATAATAGGATGTTTGAGATCAAACATTTTCCATTACTTCTCATTTCATCCTGATAAATGCTAATTTAAAAATAAAATCAAACTTTACAAATGCTAAGAAAATAACATCATTTTCATTTTGATGAAAAAAAAAATATTTTAGATATATTTGTCCATACATTATTTGCAAATATCAAATTAAAATTAAACAATACTTTAGTAATTTTTTTTTCAAATCTTTTTTTCCGTTTTATTTATGATTAAAAATAATTTTGAACATTTTTCCTTTCATTTTTATTTTTTTATTTGATCTTACAATATTCCGATCTTTTCCATCTTTTTTGTCTTGTTCAATAGAATGATTAAATTGCCACAATGCTTCAATAATGAAATTAAACTTGGCTAAATTGTAAATTACTACAGTTCCTTCGTTTTTCTTTCATTTCTCTCATTACTCCCACATTTTTCCTGTTCAGAATTTCATAGCAAACAAAAAAATTGTATTCATTGAAGAAAATAACGTTCCATTGGCATCATCATGTTAATTTACTTCAATTTTCGATGCCAGCTTCTCATCATGTTGCATACATGCGGAAGTATGTGTCAAAATTCATCCAATCATTTTAAGAAATGATTCAAAAAAAAAAAGAAAGAAAAAAGAAGAAGAAAGAAAATCAACAAATGCTCATTCTTTCAAATAACTATAAAAGATTCAACGAAAGACAACTGATTGATTACTAACAGCCTTGATAATGAGATCATAAAATCATGAAATGGCAAACTTATTTTGTAACCAATAACTGGTTATTAATAGGTCATAAAATGATAAACTTATGCTACATCTAAGCAACTTGTTGCTAAATTATATTACAATTCTTTACACATATTATTATTATTACTATTATTATTATTATTATTATTATTATTATTATTATTGTTATTATTTGTTATTTATTTATTTATTTATTATTTATTTA